ACCTGACCTCGCATACCCTCTCAGCATCTTAGCACGCTATGTTGCTCCCGGCCGTCACCGGAAGGAGCACATGGATGCAACTAAGAGGGTGTTGCGCTACTTGTGCAGTACGTCGGGCATGGGGCTAGTGCTTGGAGGGCGAGACCGGCCTGTTCTCACTGGGCACTCAGACGCTTCTTGGGCTGACGACCAGGCTACACAGCGGTCGTCTCAGGGTTACACCTTCAGTCTTGGCTCTGGCTCTGTCTCTTGGCGCTCTACTCGCTCTTCTTCTGTTCTCAGCTCCAGTTGTGAGGCTGAGATCTACGCCACGGCCATGGCTGCCCAGGAGCTTCGCTGGCTCACCTACCTACTGACTGACCTTGGAGAGCGGCCTCGTTCTCCTCCAGTGCTGTACGTTGACAACAAGGCAGCCATTGCCTTGTGTGAGGAGCACAGACTGGAGCACAGGACGAAGCACATTGCTCAGCGCTACTTCCTTGCTCGAGAGCTGCAGCAGCGCGGTCAGCTTCGTCTGCGTCACGTGGCCACTGAGGCCAACACTTCTGATGTGTTCACCTAGGCACTTCCGCCTTGTGACCATCAGCGCTTTTGCACTTTGCTAGGTCTTGTGCCCACTGGGCCTCACTTGCTTACCTCTTGACCTTGTCTGTACTGCTGCATATATATATACCTGCTCTTGCTTGTTTAGCACTGTTATATATATGCTCTGCTGCATGTGAACTGGCCTTGTGGCCTTGAACTTGTGCTCGGAATTTGTGTGGTATCCTTGAGATCCACCCTGAGCTTGCTTTGCTTTGCTTTGCTTTGACTGGTCTTGTGACCCCTTGTTCTCCCCCACTTTGCCTCTGGGGGTGTGTCAGATTATTATAGCTGATGCATGTTTGTAGGCTGTAGTGGGGTAGCCCATAGGGGGTACAACCCAATTAGGGTTGGTACTTGTACTGATTTCATTTCATAGTTGATCATTCCTCGCTACTGATTCTGAGACAAAGCACAGAAATTGAGCACATTGAAAAACACTTACCCACAACATTCCGGCATGATTTGAAGCTGAATAGTTCAATCTTATGCTGAATTAGTGTCCTGATGGGGGAAGTTGATGCCTGCCGAATGTGCCTCCCGGCATAGATCACGATGTTGTCTGTGAGAGGCAAGACAATAGCGTCAAATGCCCCAACATTCTACCTAATGCAATAATGCCAAAAGTCCCCAACATGTTGAAAGGGTTTAAAGACTGACTCATTCATTGACATAACAACTTTTTCTTCTCTTAGAAATCAGTGCTTAAAAAATGTACACCCACAGCCCAGTCACATAGAGCACATCTGGTTGAATGACTCGATACGGGTTTCCCCAACCCTTTTTACCGCTCCTCCTGTTTGCCGAAATGCCACAAAAAGGTATGAAGGGTGGGTCATTCACAAAAGGGACAGTTTGGAGTCATGTATTACTTAGGATGTATTTTGTTTATATCCCTGATTTTATTAACACAACCATGGTCTACAGGTGGGGTTTGAATACAATTAATAGAGGATAAATTACTCACATCGAGCATGACCGTGTAGTATTCTTTCAGTAGCTTAGCCTCCGTGGCGTACTGTATCTGTCAATCGATGGTTATATATTTCATGATTGTTGGTTCTATGATGTACAATTGCAACTTCTCAACGTAGGAGATTGAGCAGCGGTGATCCAAGTTGTGTTGCATCGTGCACGTGCATTTGCACGTTTGGGGAGAGTCAACCACATACTCAAAGATTTTGAACCATACGGTGAAAACTTTACCGTTATGATCTGCCTAGTGCATGAAAAACGAGACAAGATAGTAAATTTATAAATCATTGATACATCAGAACACGGTTAACGTAGTTCATCGAAGTAACGTACGTTTTGCAAAAAATGCCTTCCCTTGTGCCTGCAAAAACGGTTTAGAGTTTACCTTTGCTTGTCTCTGCCTCATCATGTGGTTGCCTCCTCTCATCTGCTGTAGTTGTGCCTCTGCTCCGTCCCATTATGGAGACCGTGCTCGTCCTCTTGCTCGATGCGAAGGGGCGGGCAATCAACTTTTCCACGTGGTTGCTCGCCGTCAAGCTCCAACTGCGAAGCCAGCATTAGGGTGACGTCCCCTCATGTGACCATGCTTTGGTTGAACTATCTGCCCCCCAGCATCTTCATGATCTTGCTGCTGAGGCCATGTGAACGCAGCAGGAGGCCCACAGTGTGGCCCGGCTATAGCACACGCTTTGGGAGTCGTCTGACGCATCTACCGCCTTGCTATCAGGGATTCGTGTGACGCTCTTCTGCATCCTTTCTATTAGTCACCTCCTCATGACGTCCGAATGGGTGCACTTTTGCAAGGTGGAGAAGGCGAAGGCGCGTTTTGATGATATTATTGCTCGTTGCCCTCTGCTACTTTGGGGCGCCTCATCCATGTCGAATACATATTATAACTATCAGACATATATGCTGCTTATTGTGTAGGCTGTAGTGGGGTAGCCCATATGTGGTAAAACCCAAATCAAGGTTTCCTACTTGTACCCATCCTGCTGCTAGTTCATTCATTCCTGTTCGTTATTCTGACATGGTTTCATAGCAGGTCCTAGCCTAGGACCGATTTCTTAGGACCCACCGAGTAGCGCTACCCCACCCGTCGCGCTAGTGTGATCAGGTCTCCCTGCCCTGCCCTGCCCAGCGCTGCCCGCAGCAGAGGTGGAGGCAGTGATGGGGGCAATGGAGACAATGGAGGGGGCGGCGGTGGAGGAGGTAGTGGTGGTGGGGGCGGAGGGGCAAGTGGCGGCGGTGGTGGCGGCAGTGGGAGTGGTGGAGGCGGCAGTGGTGGCGGCAGTCGGGGTGGAGGCGGCGGCAGTGGTGGCGGCCGGGGTGGTACCACTCAGAGGGGAGGCCTTGGAGGTGGCCAGAGGCAGCAAAAGCGTCAGCCCCTTTCTTCTCAGGAGCTCCGTAAGTGGTTTGCTCAGCGTGGGGCGGTTGGGGGTGGAGGTCGCTGCCCGTATGTCATTCGTACAAGTGACCGCACTGGTCAGACATGCGGGTTGCCTCACACGCAGCACCGCTGCATCTCCCGTCTTACAGACGCCTTTCGCGCAGAGTTTCCCGACACGTCTGAGGTCCCTCACTTGGCAGAGCTACTTAGGCAGAATGTGAATATCTTTGCTCTAGACTTTGATGCTATCCTATCTGCCATGTCTGCATTGACTGTTAGTGCTGAGGGTGACTGTTATTTGTGTATGCCGCCAAACCCAGGTATACAGGCTGCTGCTCTAGGTGCTAGTGACTTTGCTGCCCTAGGTGCTAGTGAGTCTGCTCTCTCTGGTACTGCGTCTGCTGCGGCCCTGCACACCTTCACGCTTCACTCAGGTGCTTCCCGCTTTGTCTTTCGCGACAGCACCATAGTCACACCGCTCTCCGCACCTGTTGTTGTCTCTTTGGCTGACCCCTCTAGGGGCCCAATCATTGCACATTCCTCCACTGTTCTGCCCTGTCCGGCGGTTCCGTCTGGGTCACTGTTAGGTCTCCATCTCCCCTTGTTCTCTACGAACTTGGTGAGCACTGCTGTTCTCCAGGATACGGGGGTTGACACCTTCACCCCTGGACGCCAGCGTGTGGCAATCTGTACGTGCTCCCGGACCGGTTGCCACCTGGCCACATTCACCCGTCGGCGTGGGTCAGGTCTGTACATACTGACTACTGCATCTCCTCAGGTAGCTGCGTCTGCGTCTGCGTCAGGTCAGCTTGCTGCCCCATAATCGTGTCGCGCCCTGTCGCACCAGACGCTCCTTTGGCACCACCGTCTTGGTCACCCCTCTGTGGCACGCCTCCGTGGTATGCACTCCCGTCTCCTTGTCTCTGGTCTTCCCAGGTCTCTGCCTCCCCTACCACCCTCGCTTGCCCCTCCATGTCTTCCCTGTGTCGAGGGGCGGCAACGCGCTGCTCCTCACTCCTCATTCCCCCCGACAGAGGCTCCTCTGCAGACTCTCAACTAGACGTGTGGGGCCCAGCCCGTGTCCGTGAACAGGGCCACAAGCGGTACTTTCTGCTGGTTGTCAACGACTACACGCGTTACACCACAGTCTTCCCCTTGCGCCGCAAGGGGGAGGTCCCTGATGTTCTGATCCCTTGGATCCGCGCTGTTCGTCTCCAGCTCCGCGAGAGGTTCGAGACGAACCATCCCGTCCTGCGTCTGCACTCTGACAGAGGTGAAGAGGTTTCCTCCGAACTCTTGTGGGCCTTTTGTCGAGCGGAGGGCATTCACCAGACGTTCACGCTTCCGGCCTCTCCGTAGCAGAATGGGGTTGTTGAGCGCTGCATTGGCTTAGTCATGGAGGTCGCTCGTACCTCCATGATCCATGCAGCTGCCCCCCATTTTCTGTGGCCGTTTGCAGTCCAGTACACTGCGCATCAGCTCAACCTCTGGCCCCGTGTCACCTTGCCGGAGACCTCGCCCACACCGCGTTGGACGGGAGAGCTTGGCGATGCGTCGTGCTTTTGTCCGCGATACTTCCGCGGACAAGCTCTCCTCGCACGCCGCTCCCTGCGTCTTCTTTGGCTTTCCCCCTGACGCGCCTAGCTCGCAGTTTTACCACCCACCTCACTCCGTGTCCTGTCCTCTCAAGACATCACGTTTGACGAGTCGGTTTCCTTTTACCATCTCTTCCCCTACCGCACTGCCCCTCTCCCTCCCCCGTCGCTCTTCCTCGCACCAGGTCCTCCTCCGATAGACCCCCTCCCACCTCAGGGTCCTGCTCCCTCCGGTGTGTCTCAGGTAGACCCTGTCGAGGTAGGTGTCAACTCTGGTGCTGCTAGAGGCGCTACGTCTGGGGGTGCTGTGCCTGCGGGTGCGGGGCCTGGGAGTGCTGAGCTTGAGAGTGCTGAGCCTGGGGTTGCTGAGTCTCAGGGTGCGGAGCCTGGGAGTGCTGAGCCTGAGCGTGCAGAGCCTGGGGGTGCTAAGCCTGAGCGTGCGGAGCCTGGGGGTGCTGAGCATGGGGGTGTTGAGCCTGGGGGTGCTGAGCCTGAGCGTGCGGAGCCTGTGGGTGCTGAGCCTGGGAGTGCTGCGCCTGAGCGTGCTGCACCTGGGGGTACTTTGTCTTCTGGAGGTCCTCTGGTTGTCTTGTCCCGTAGAGAGACGCTCTCTCCACCGCAGCTGCGCAAGTGGTTTACTCGGCGCTGGAGCCTCCGGAGTGGTACTGATGGAGCTAGAGCTGCGGGAGGTGCTGGAGCCCCTGGTCCCGGAGGTGCTCATACTAGAGGTACTGGAGCTGCTGGGGCTGGGGGTGCTGCTGGAGCTGCTCGAGGTGCTGCTGGAGCTGGAGCTGCTGGAGGTACTAGAGCTAGTGGAGCTGGAGGTGCTGCTGTAGCTCGAGCTGGAGGTGCTGCAGGAGCTGGAGCTGCTGGAGGTGCTGCTGGAGGTGGTTCTGCTGGAGGTACTGGAGCTGATGGGGCTGGAGCTACTGCTAGAGCTGGAGCTAGAGTTGCTGCTAGAGCTGGAGCTGCTGGAGGTACTGGTGCTGTTGGTGCTGGTTCTGGAGGTGCTGCGTGACAGCCACAGTACTTTGTTCCCCTGCTTCAGCAGGTTCTTGGTCTCCCGCCTTCTACTGACCTTACTCCTCCCTTATTGTGTCCACCGCCTGACCAGTCCCAGCCGCAGTTACAGCCAGCCTCCCCACTGCCTGCTCCTTCTCCTTACACTGAGCTGCCCGGAGATCTTGCAGAGCGTCGTGAGCCTGCGTCTCGTCCCGCGTCGCCTGTTTGCGCTGCTCGCACTAGTCGTCGTGTTCCGCGTGAGCGTCCTCCTCCTGTCCCCGGCACGCATCATAGGGCACTTAGTCTATCCTCTATTGCACTGCGTGTCCCTCTGCCATCTCCTCCTGCGTCCTCCCTTGCTGACGGTCCGGACCCGGAGTCTGACTCCCTTCGTGCTGCTAGTCCTACTGTCACGTGTCTCCTGGCCACTGTTGTCACTGACCCTTCCTTTGAGTCTACTGCTGCGTCTGCTCTTGTTTCTGAGCTGGTAAATTTCGCTGCCACCTGTCGTCTAGACTACGCCCCTAGCCTTGTTGCTGAGTAAGAGTCTGTCTGTCCTCTGTCCGTCGGGGGTCAGTGTGCTCTTCGCACGGACGTCCCTGAGGACAGCATGAGGACTTTGAGTGCTTTGCAGCTGCAGTACCTCATCTCGTGTCCATGCTGATTGCACATAAGGGAGACCCGGATGCACCAGACATCCCGACCCCGCGCTCTTACGCAGAGGCAATAGAGGGTCCCTACTCCTCACAGTGGCGTCTTGGAAGTCTACTGGCACTTATGTCGACGAGGGGGAACATCGTCAGTGGCATGTGGATTTTCAGGGTGAAGCGGCCGCCGGGTTCTCAGCCTGTCTTCAACACACATTACGTTGCACGATGCTTCAGTTAGCGATAGGGAGTTGCCTTCTTCCAAACCTTCTCCCCTACCCCGAAGATGACCACTCTTTAGGTTCTGCTGAACATTATCGCTGAGCATGACTACGAGCTTCACTCTCTTGACTTCAGCATTGCTTTCCTATAGGGCAGCCTGCACGAGGAGATCTAGCTGCGCCGCCCACCTGGCTTCACTGGGTCATTTCCTGCAGGTACCCAGTCTACAGTCTCCGCTAGGCGCGTCGCGAGTGGCAAGACACACTGAGGATGCTTGCGGATCTTGAGTTTGCTCATCCGACAGCTGACCCGTCGCTGTTTCTGCGCACCGACACTTCGTTGCCCCCGTTCTACATCCTCGTGTACATCGATGACTTGGTGTTTGCCACTGCTGACACTTCTGAACTGGCCCACGTGAAGTCGGAGCTGCAGAAGAGACACACATGCACAGACCTGGGTGAGCTGCGCAGCTATCTTGGCTTCCAGATCACCCGTGACAAAGCACATCGCACCATTACCTTGACTCAGTCACACATGGTGCAGCAGATCCTTCAGCGCTTCGACTTCCTGTACTCCTCACCACAGTCTAGTCCTCTGCCTACCGGTCACTCGCCCTCAGCTCTTCCTTCGGATGAGTCCGTAGAGCCGAGTGGCCCGTATCCAGAGCTTGTGGGCTGCCTCATGTACCTGATGACCTGCACTCGACCTGACCTTGCTTACCCTCTTAACATCCTGGCATGCTACGTTGCGCACGGGAGACACCGACCAGAGCACTCGAAGGCCGCTAAGAGGGTGATGCGCTTCTTGTGCAGTACGTCATGCATGGGGCTCGTGCTTGGAGGATGGGCTCAAGTTGTCCTCACTGGTCACGCAGACACTTCTTGGGCTGACGACTTGGCTACGCACCGGTTGTCACAGGGTTACACCTTCAGCCTTGGCTCCGGTTCTGTTTTGTGGGGGTCTACCCGCTCGTCTTCTGTTCTTAGCTCCAGTTGTGAGGCTGAGATCTACGCAGGGGCCATGGCTGCACAGGAGTTACGTTGGCTTACCTACCTGCTGACCGACTTGGGAGAGCCGCCTCATTCTCCTCCAGTTCTGTACGTCAACAACAAGGCCATGATTGCCTTGTGTCAGGAGCACAGATTGGAGCACAGGATGAAGCACATCGCTCTGCATTACTTCCTTTCTCGAGAGTTGCAGCAGCGTGGTCAGCTTTGTCTTGCTTACGTGGCCTCTCAGGACAACACTGCTGATATCTTCACCAAGGCACTTCAGCCTTGTGATCATCAGCATTTCTGTACTGTCCTAGGCCTTGTGCCTACTTGGCCGCACTTTCTCACTTCTTGACTTTGCTTGTACTGTGATCTATATACTTATACCTGCATGCTAACACTTGCTAGGTTATGATCACTGTCCTGTTTGCTCTCCTATGTATATATATATAACTCTGCATGTGAACTGGCCTTGTAGCCATTTGCTTATGCTAAGAATGCGTGGTGACTTCGTGATCCACCCTGGGCTTGCTTTGCCTTTCTTGACTGGTCTTGTGACCTCTTGTTCTCCCCCACTTTGCCTATGGGGGTGTGTCAACCATATATTTTGCTTATTGTGTAGGCTGTAGTGGGGTAGCCCATATGGGGTACAACCCAAATTGGGGTTTCCTACTTGTACCCATCCTGCTACTAGTTCATTCATTCTTGTTCGCTATTTTGACAATATCTTCTTGTATGAACTGGCTTTGCATGTAGTGTAGTGTAGATTATACAACCTATTTGGTAATTTACCATTTGCTTTGCATGTTTCTTGCCTACATGTTCTCCCCATCCTATAGTGAAGCCCTCTTTTGGCCAATTTCTCACTCTAAACATTCTCGCTACCTCGCTAGCTATGTTCTTACCCTAAATCCTCCTAAACCACCACGCCTTCTATTCTAACAGCTATTCCTCTTCCCTGATCTCCCTGCGTTTTCCATTGTCGCTGGCCTGATTACCCACCTGCGCTGACTTCATGATAGTTTTCGTGAGGACAACAATTGGCCCGACTGTGCGGACAACAGGGGGGGGCGACTGTGATTGAGGAGGAGAGGAAACAGCAGGGCACGAGTCTGGAGGAGGAAGACCGTGTGCAGTAGGGGGCGGTGAGAGGTCTGGAGGAGGGGAAGGAAGGCCAAGGTCCCGAAGGCCACTCACAGTTGGGATTAACTGCTGCAAAGGTAGCGGCTGTTGCTGCTACTGCTGCTACTCCAACTCTTGCCGCTGCAGCTCTTGATACTACTGCTGCTCCAGATCCAGCCTCTCCTGCGCCAACCTCTCTTGCTCCTCATGCTCAAGTCGACAAAGAGTTTGGTGACGCGTCGGGTTGCGGTAGGAAGGCGGAGTAGGTGCCGCATTAGAAGTGTCTCTAGCTCATCGACAACTCCAGCAACCCTTGTTTTAGCACATCAAGCTCCAGCACCTCCACAATTGGCACCTCCCATGCAAGTACCTCTAGCTCTAGAACCCTCATAACTAGCACCTCCAGCGCTCGTGCCTCCAGCACCAACACCCCCAGAGTCCACTGCAACCTATGGCAGTCGTGCTGAAGGCTACATCGATGACTGTGAGGATGATTGTGGCTGATGTTCTACCGAGGGGAGAGGGGTAGCATGAGACACACTTGACGGGGCAGTATCTAGGTGGGAGGGGTGTACTGGAGAAGCAGGACCAGGAAGACGAGTGGGAGGGACGCGTGACCAAGACAGTAGTGCCACAGGACTGTCAGGTGAGTGAGCGACCGACAAGAGCACGACGCAGCAACCTGGCCAGACGCAACTACCTGGGGAGACGTGGTGTGCAGCGTGAAGAGACCTGACTAGGGCTCGTGACGAAACGTGGCACGAGTAGCCCCAGTGACCTTGTCTGTGCAGGTCGCAACACGTTCGTGCGGAGGAAACCAAGTGCCAACACCTAGGTCCTGAACGTGTTCAACACCTACCAAGTTCCTGGAGAACGAGGAGATGTGGAGACCAGTGAGGACACCCGAAGGGACAACCGGGCACGAGGGGATGGTAGAGCCGCGGACAACTTCTAGCCCTGAAGTAGGACCAGCCAAGGCAATCAAAACTAGAGCTGGAAGCGGTGTGATAGTCATGTGGTTGCGGAAGAAGCACTTAGACGTGCTAGAGTCTAGCATAAAGGAGAGCGACGCGTTAGCCGTAAGTACATATGGGATAGTAACTACAAAAGCACATATATTGGAAGCACAAACACCTACACTAGCAACAGGCAAGGAACCTAGGCTACAAACACGTGAGCAAAGAGATCTTGCAACAATATACTCAACATCATCATACATCACAGAAGCGGATCGCAAGGCATCAAGCAACTCTACCACAGACGTGCCAAACAACGCCAGACCAAGGGAGTGAGCCAGTGGGGCCCAGTCTGGAGCAGGGCCAAAGCCGTACTGTGTGGAGATGGTCTGTGAGTTGCGCAAAGCACTGACCCGGGGGGTGAAGTTGGCCTCAGGAGACGCCTGCACGAGTGCCGGTCTGAACAAGGAAAGTGCAGGGGGTAGGGGTGACACCATGCGATGTCCAGCTGCTTGGGCCTTCGCCACGTCCAGCGCCCCCTGGCCCACCAGATCCCCACTGCTGAGACTACCGCTGCACCTGCCACTGGGGCTGAACCTGCTGCTGCGGCTTCCGTGCTGCTGCTGCTGCTGTCCCCGTTGTGGCTGCTACTGATGTCTATGTTGTGGTTGCTGCTGCTGGGACTGCTGCTGCTACTGCTGCTGCTGCTGTGCTGTGTACCAACCAATGGGTCAAGCACCCCCGCCCGTTGGGCGTGTAGGCCTTGTATCACCTCCAGTGCTGCCTCCACTAGACGCACTGGTACCGCTACTACCTCCGCCACCCTCTCCGCCACCACCACCGCCACCACCCTTCCCCCCTTTCTTACCTCCCTTGGCTTGGGCCCAACAACTGGTGACAAACAGGGCTGCAGTCTTGTCGGAAGCAAGAGACGCAATAGAGGCAAGAGTTGTAGTGAAGGTGGGGAGCTGTGGGACAGTACACCCATGAAAGAGTGGGAGAACTACGGCGCCGGAAGCGAAGTCAACGGACTGGATGTTGCTTTTGATGTCCTTGAGAGCGGTATTAAGGACATCGCTAGTGAGCTCACTAGAGTTCTTCTGAAGAGGCACGTCGCGTACATGTGCAAGGGGTTTAGGGAGGCTAGTGACTATGAAGTGAAAGTGATGTGCATGGGCAGGGGGGCGATTGCAAGCTCAGCCTCGCTACAAGCAGCACGATAGCTAGTGTTGAGCGAGCGTAGGTAGACGACAAGGTAGCAGTACAGTCAGACGCTCCTAGATTGGGAAATAGCAATGGGATGAAGAGGCAACAAAGGCGGAGGCTACCGAGGAGGATGCTCAGGGCAATACGAGCTGCATCGTCACGATACTACCACACCGACAGAGATGTACAAGCCTGAGCAAAGCGCTCCCAGTCTGCGGCAGTAGGCTGAGCAGGAAGGTCAGCAGGGCGCTCAGGTAAAGGCACGTCACCAGAACTGTGTCACCGTCGTGGTGCAAGTTAGCGCAGATGAGTTAGGTGGGAAAATCTAGCACTCTACCCCCCGCATCTAAATGCATAACTCGAGGGGTCACCATGGATTGCACTCTACTGAACTAGTAA